CTGAATTTTATACTACATTTGTGAGCCCCAACCTCCCTTCATCGTGCCTACTTGCCCCAGCTCCTGTTACCCAGATTCATTAATACCAACAATGCCACCACCACCACCTTCAGACTAAATCAAATCCCACTTCTTCAACCAATCGTTAGCAAGGCAAATGTGCATCCGCAGCCTCGGCCCACTGTCTGAAATGCAGAATTAAGTCCCTTTTTCAGCCTTCTCAGGCAAATCATGCCTAGGACCCATGTGGCTCCAAGAGTACCCCCTCCCGGGACTCCTAAATGCCTCTTAGCTCACTCTTTCCTCCTTCCATCCCTAAGACTGAATATGGATTTGATCCTTAAATCACTAACTCACTGGGCTCAGATTACTCCTTTTACCCAAATTAATGATTTAAAACAATGTTCTATTGCAATACAGAGAATGAGACAAGGCTGTAAAATTAGTCATTTCCAGAGTGCTATCATTCAGAAAACATATTCTCTCATGTACAGATAGCAGTATAAAAAAAAATAATATATATACAAATGTGTGTGTGTAGAACAATCTCACATTCTCCTAAAAAGTGTCCTAAACTTCTAAAAGTAACTTCCAATAGCTATTAAGCCAATTAGTACTAAATATTTAGGAAGTACACAAACTGAGTTTTAGATACGATAAATAATATCATCTCTCACCAAAAATAAGGATTCCAAGAATCACAGGAAAAAGGACAAGGTGAGCTAACCCAAACCTGATTTCAGAGTAACAAATCAAGTCTCTAAGAGACTGAGTTATTCAAGGTAACAGAGCAGGGCACTGACAACACTCAAACAAGAACTCAGGTCTCCAGATTCCCAAACCACAAAGTATCTAAAAGCTTGTGAGATACAATGGGCTGTGCAGAGTTTGAAACAGACACAGTCTCTTCCCCCAAAAGCATACACAGTACACATTATGACAACTGTGAAACACCAAGCAATTAAAACACAAAGACAATATAGGTCAACCCTCATTGTGCCTTTATCGACCAAATGCCAGCTTCTAAAAGTATTGACTATAAAATAAAAAATTGTGAAATTATCATTTATATGAGGGATTCTAAACATTTTTCCCATGAGTATTACTGGTTATAGAAAACTTATCACACTTTAATTATCAAAAAACAATATTAATCATGAAAAGTAAGTCAGTACCAAAAAGGTAGTATAAGCACAGTTGTTAAAAGCTAACCATTTGAATCCCCTCTTCCACTTATTAGCTATATAACCTTGAGGAAGTTACTCAACCTCTCTGTGCCTCCACTTCCTCATCTATAAAATGAAGACAGTCATATTTACATCTTAGAGTGGTTGTGAAGATTAGATAAGTCAATAAATTCTAAAGTACCTGGAGCAGTGCCTGGCACGTAGTAGGCAACAATTATTGTTTTTCTTTTCCACTTAGTTAACCAACTCTTGATGTTTATCATGTCTCTTTAGGTCTTGCCAACCTTCAGGAAGCACTGGAATAAAATATAAGATTTCCTAGAGGACCCAGGTTTTATGTAAAAAATTAAATAATGATAGAGACATGGTAGAAGAGATACATTTTCAAGGCATATGATAAATAATCAGAAATCAGGAAAACTGACTTATAGAGAACGACAGGCTTTGCCTGCCTTGGATTGGCAGGTGTGGGGTGAGAAGTACTAGCAGTTTTCAAAATCAGTAAAACCACAAACATTCTCTTTGCCACGTCAAGTTTGAAATGCTCCATCCGCACCACCACAACTATTAGCTCAAGTCCCCTTTACACTTCCTAACCATTCCTACTACTTCTACTTCTTCCCCGTATCCACAGACTCTAGGAGAAAAAAATCCCTCTGAAAATAAAAGCAGAGGTCTCACTGAAATAAAACCCCCATTAAATTTCCCATAAAAAATAAATAAAAAGGAATTATAAAGAGAAGCACAATGCATTTATTCCCCATAGATCTGTCGCCTGAATGATTCGGTGGCCCCAGACATCCTTGAGGCTCCGGGTCAGTGCTGCTGTCCATGTGAGAGGGGTTCAAAAGGGTGTGTTCAAGAGGGGGAGGGGTGGCTGAGGGATCTCAGTCAGGATTGGGGCACACTGTTGGAGAGCTCTGAGGACATCAGAATTTAACCAAAATCACTTACCTGCTGTCTCCCCCCTGGAGCAGCATATAGAACTGAATAATGGGAAAAGAGAATGATGAGGTTACAAGTGGCTAGACAGGAGGTGGCAATGCTGAGAGAGGAGTAACACAAGTCAGGACAAAAAAGATTTTAAAAGAATCAAAGGGAACTATGGTATGATATGGCAACAAATTAGACAGACTGCTTAAAACTTAATGAGGCTTAAAGATCACCCAAGGTAATAGGATTAATAGGAGGCAGAACGTAGATACTGCTAACAACTATGATAAGACCAGCCCTGAGAGAGAGGATGTTGGCAGGTTCACAAGTTCAGCCTTGGCATGTTTAATTTTAGGTAAAAGTCAAGTATCCAGTAGGAAGCATTTTATGGGTAGCAGGAAAAATCATATTGTAGGGCATTTTTAATAGGTTCAGAATATTAACCAGCTCACAACTTAGTTGATTTAAGAACCTTCTCTATCAGCAACAGTATGACTTTAAATGGCAAGTATTTAAAACATGATATAGGCTCAAGAGGGATTAATAAAATTAATGAGTAACATTTTATGAATTATGAAAAAGTGGGAGTATTTGAGTGATAAGTTCAATATATAATGATAATTTATATGCAGAGCAACTACCAAATTTTTCCACAAAAAAAGGACATTTATGTCACTGTAAGACAGAATAGTAGGCATATGGATTATTATTCTGACTTCAGATAGTATTTCACAAATGTATTATGTCACATAAATTAAGTATAATACTCCTTTAAGTCCTATAAACCATATTAAAGCTTTCATTCAAATTCTAGCTGGCAAATTTCCATGTCAGTTCTCTTGACAGTATTTTTTAGCATATTTTATTGATTATGCTATTACAGCTGTCCCATTTTTTTCCTCCTCTTAACCCCCTACTCCCGCAGCACTGCTCCCGCCAGCATTCCCGCCGTAGTTCCTGTCCATGGGTCACACACGTAAGTTCTTTGGCTTCTCCACTTCCTATATTATACTGTTCTTAACCTCCCCCTGTCTATTTTGTACCTACCAATTATGCTTCTTATTCCCTGTACCTTTTCCCCCACTATCCCCCTTATCCCTCCCCTCTGATCCCCATTTCTGTGATTCTGTTCCTGTTCCAGTTGTTTGCTTAGTTTGTTTTTGCGTTTTTTTCGGTTCAGTTGTTGATAGTTGTGAGTTTCTTGTCATTTTACTGTTCATAGTTTTTGATCTTCTTTCTCTTAGATAAGTCCCTTTAACATTTCATATAATAAGGGCTTGGTGATGATGAACTCCTTCAACTTGACCTTATCTGGGAAGCACTTTATCTGCCCTTCCATTCTAAATGACAGCTTTGCTGGACGGAGTCATCTTGGATGGAGGTCCTTGCCTTTCGCGACTTTGAATGCCGCTTTCCAGCCCCTTCTTGCCTGCAAGGTGTCTTTTGAGAAATCAGCTGATTTCCTTTGGGAACTCCTTTGTAGGTAACTGTCTCCTTTTCTCTTGCTGCTTTGAAGATTCTCTCCTTATCTTTAATCTTGGGTAATGTAATTATGATGCCCCTTGGTGTGTTCCTCCTTGGGTCCAACTTCTTTGGGACTCTCTAAGCTTCTTGGAGTTGCATGTCTATTTCCTTCGCCAGATTGGAGAAGTTCTCCTTCATTATTTTTTTAAATAAGTTTTCAATTACTTGCTCTTCCTCTTCTCCTTCTGGCACCCCTATGATTCAGATGTTGGAATGTTTAAAGTTGCCCCAGAGGTTCCTAAGCCTCTCATTGTTTTTGAATTCTTGTTTCTTCAGTCTGTTCTGGCTGAAAGTTCATCTCTTCCCTTGTTCCAAATCTTGGATTTGAGTCCTGGTTTCCTTCTCTTCACTGTTGGTTCCCTATATATTTTTCTTTATTTCACTTTGCATAGCCTTTACTTCTTCCTCTGTTTTGCATCCATACTCAGTCATTTCAGTGAGCATCCTGATTACCAGTGTTCTGAACTCCACATCTGATAGGTTGGCTACCTGTTCATCATTTAGTTCTATTTTTGGAGCTTTGATCTGTTCTTTCATTCGGGCCATATTTCTTTGTCTCAGAGCACCTGTTATGCTGTAAGGGGTGGAACCTTAGGTATTCACCAGTGTGGGGCAACTTACTTCACTCAGTTCTGGCGCTGAATGTGGGGGAGGGGTCAGAGAGGGAACAATGCTGCTTGCTTGGCTCTTGCCCTGCGTTCAGTCACTTCCCCTACTACCCACAAGCTACTTGGATCCTTCTGGTACTGATTCATGGGTGAGTGGGTTTGTGTACATTCTAGGACCCCACAGATCCCTCCAACAGACTCTCTCCTATGAGAGTGGGAGTATCTCCTGCCACCACAACGCCTACAGGTTTTTACAGCTAAAGGTTTTGAAGCTTTATTTTCCTGTGCTGGAACCCTGGGTTGTGCAGTCTGTCTCACTTCCCAATTGTCCCTCCCAATTTATCCACACATAAATGTGGGACCACCTGGTCTGCCAGGTACCATGTTGCCCACCCGGTCAGCCAGCCACTGCCTTGCTGCGAGTCCTCTCCACCCCAGCCATCCGTCTCCACCCCTACCACCACTCTGGATGAATGTTTCTTCTTTAAGTCCTTGGTTGCTGGACTTTCATACAGTTTGATTTTCTGGAAATTATGGTTATTTTGTTTTTAAATTGGTTGTTGTCCTTCTTTGGTTATGCAAGGAAGCAAAGCACATCTACCTAAGCCTCTATCTTAGTGGGAAGCTCAATTTTATCCTCTTGAAAGATTTACCACATGAAAACAGCCATAATACAGTCAAAGGAAACTGGAGCCTTTTTAAATACAATCATTGGTTACAAATAGATTTCAAATTAAAAAAGACCTACCACATTTTCCTTCATCTTTCTCAGCTTTGCATCTATTTCTTTTAGACGATTTTGCTGATCCCGTTGCTCTTTGGTGCTCCGAAGTACCTTGTCCCCTGGAGTTATTTCCATATTTCTATCATTATCATTAAGGTCAGGTTCCTAATTTAAAAAAACAAAACAAAACACACACACACACACAGAGGCTGAAAATGTACCATCACACACCATTCTAAATCAATTGAACCTTGAAGATTAGTTTTGCTTCTCAACCAATGTCTCTTCCAAATTAAAATGATATTTATAATTCTCTAAACTCTTCTTATTTGAGAAGGGAAAGATTCAACTCTACACAAAACAAGGAGGGAAATAAACCCAATCATATGGAAAGTAGGAAGTTAGAGTGAAAAAAGCAATGGCCAGGAAGCTGTGACCTGGGCTCCAGTCCCTGCTCTGTACTTAATCAGCATGGACTCTCAGGCAAATTGCAGTTTCTCTAGACTTCAAGTTCATCATATATAAATAATAAGAGAAAACCCTGCCCATCCATGTTAGGAGAAGTGGTTATGTAATAGTGAAAAGAGACCTATACTTGACAAAGTCAAGAATTTTGAATCCTGGCTCTCCCCGGTTCCTAAGATGGCCTGAGGGAAGTCAATCAACCTCTCTGAGCTTCAGTTTCATCATCATCTTCAGAAGAGGAGGAAGAGGAAGAGGAGGGGGAAGGAGAGGGGGAAAAGAATATCTAGCCTAAAAGTACATAGTAGGAATGCAACAAATAATGCCTAAAAAATGTGAGCTGAATATGCTCTTTGAAAAGAATAAGTATTATATAATGAAAGTATTTTATTTTGAGCAATATTTAAACTGATAAAACCATATTCTTCCAAAGTTAGTATTATTTCTAGGTGATAGAAAAGGGTATTTCTTGGTAGTAAGTTGGTCCTATAACTAAACTTTCTATCTTTTTTCCCACAGATCTCATACTCTGCATTGCCACATAGGTGATTGGCATAGCTGTCATTTTTGAAGTTACTCAAGCCAGAATCCTCTCACATTCTCATTCCTTACATACATTGGGTCATCAAGAAAAGTCACCATTTACTTTCCAATACTCCTTTAATCAAGGTCCTTCTCCTTTTTCACTGCTTACTCCTCATTCAGTACAGCCAGAGTTTTCAAACTCCAGTGTGCTGCAGACTCACCCACAGAGTCTGTGAAAATATTCAAAGGCCCAGCCTCCACCCCAGAGATTCTGATTCAATAGGTAAGGACTGGGGACTAACAGCCTGAAGCACAACTACTTGGGAATTTGAGAACTATCAGCTTGAGCTACTACCTGAGCCTCTTAACTGGGCTTGGTGCCATCCATCTCCCCATTCACTCCACCTTTTGCAAAGAAGCCACAAAGCAAGGTGCAAAGTCATCACCACTTCCCTTCAGTCTTGGTTCCCTTTACTTGTGTCTCAAACCCAAAGCCTCAGCAATATTCACTATTCCTAGTTCTCCACCACTCCATACCTTCTCCCTCTGACTCCTCATACAAGCCCCTACTCCTTTTGAGCCCAGCACAAACATATATCTAGTATGAAATAGTCCCTGACACACCCAGGAAGGGCAGCTATTCTCCCCAGCATTCCACATCATTGTACTTACCACACTGTCACTGCTCAGAGAGAAACCATGACTGTTTCCACTCTGAATCTCAACACAAACTACAATCCTGAGACTGTATAAGCACTGGTGTCTGATGAAGGTCTGCTTTCTGGTTCTTAGATGGCCATCTTTTTGCTTTGTCCTCAGTGACAGAGAGCTCTGTGGGCCTTATTAATAAAGCACAACAAATCCTATTCCTGGGGGCTCTTCCCTCATGATCTAATCACCTTCCAAAGACCTCAAGTCCAAATACTATCATATTGGGGATTACATTCCAACATATGAGTTGTGGAGGAACATAAACATTGAGTCTATAGAACATAGTGATCTGAAAAACATCCAAATTGAATTTCATTTTTAAATGAAAATCACTTTTTTAAAAAAAGGACATCACTTTAATAATCTGCAGCTATAATTTTTTTTCAATCATCGGATAGGCAAAGAAAAACACACTAAGAAAAATATTTTAAGTCAAGTTTCATCAGTATTTTTAAATTTTGCAAAGCTGCCATTAATAGACAAGTCACAGGCTGAGAGAAAAATATCATAACACACAAGTCAGAGAAAGAACTTGAACCTAGTATATATAAGGAATCCACATAATTTAATAATAAATATGAATAAAAAGACAATCCAGTTCTAAAACAACTTGAACAGATACTTTGTAAAAGAAGATATGTAAATGACAAATAAATACAGTCATACTGTGGCACTCATTAGCTTCAGAACTCATCAAACCCTGTATTCATCACATTTTGATGAGAAAAAACTGTTTCAGCACTCGGGGCTTTTTCAGGACTCATTAAAACTTGCATGATGCCACCCCACAAGAGAAAATACTTCATGTTTTTTTCTCATCGGTTTTGGCACTTGTCATGAGCTCTGGAACAAATTAATTATGAGTATGGAGGTACAACTGTATGTGAACAAGTCTTTGAAGAAGGCAACATAGGCAGACATGGCTTACCTCTTTGCACAACCACATCAAAATTACAACTAAAATATAGAACAATCATCACTCAGGAACATGTGAAATCGAGTTGAATGGAAGTCTGACAACTATGGAATCCATCCAGACTGATAGGAGGGGCACAGACATGGAACAGGCAGCCCCTACACCTACCTAGATAAAAATTTGGGAGGGATATCTTGGGAGCAAGGAGCCCCAAACCCACATTAGGCCCCCCCCAACCCAGGATTCAAGAGCCAGGAAGATAAGTCCCCACAACTTCTGGCTGCAAAAACCAGTGGGTACTGAATCGGTGGAGGAGGCTGCTGGAGTCCTAAGCAGTTCCTCTTGGGGAACCCACACACAGACTTACCTACTCAGACTCATTCCCTCTGAGCTCCAGTGCAGGGATATACAGTGAGAGACTGTAGTGTCTGTCATCAGGATGAGCAGAGGCCATTGTCTCTCTGCTGAGCCCTTCCCCTACAGAGCTCGTAGGCTGGTATCATATCTAAGACTCCATCAACCTAACACTGTGTGACCAGCCCTGGAGATCCCCAGGGACTCTGTCCTACCCAACTCATGGGCCCACCGAAGCTGCTTTTCCAGAATAATGGCTGGTCTTGGCTCCTAAATCCTATCAAACAAGCAACAGCTGGCTCCAGTGAGCCCTAGCAGCAGCCAGACTAAAGTCATGGCCTGTCTTCACCTGAGAATCTCCAAGCCCAGCACAAGTAGCAGCCATCTCCGATTGCTTCACAGTTCAGGCAGGGTAGCCCCAGGAAAAACACAGGTGGGGGCTGACCTTGGCCTGTACCACCCAGGAAACCCCAGAGCCAATGCACTCTGTGGACAGCTACAGACTATGTCAAGCCCTATCGCCCTTCCACTGCATAGATGATCATCCACGGAGGGCAGGGGTTGGTGGTCAATGGTCACAGCCAATCCTTGCAACTGACTGACCTGGGTAAATCCCTCCCATTGACCTGCCAACAGCAATCAAGGCTCAACTATAAGAGAAGGGTGTACTTAGCCCAAACAAAGGCCACATCTCGAGTGGTTACTCTTTGTCACTGAGGACAAAGCAAAAAGATGGCCATCTAAGAACCAGAAAGCAGACCTTCATCAGACACCAGTGCTTATACAGTCTCAGGATTGTAGTTTGTGTTGGGATTCAGAGTGGGAACAGTCATGGTTTCTCTCTGAGCAGTGACAGTGTGGTAAGTACAATGATGTGGAATGCTGGGGAGAATAGCTGCCCTTCCTGGGTGTGTCAGGGACTATTTCATACTAGATATATGTTTGTGCTGGGCTTGGGAGATAGCAGAGGCTGTGCCACTGGACCCTACAGGACACCTACAACATTAGGCCACACTACCAACACATGGAGTCAAAGCAGCTCTACATAGGAACAAACTCAAAGAGACTGCCAAAATAAGGACACAAAGAAACATGGCCCAAATGAAAGAACATATAAAACTCCAGAAAAGAACTAAACAACATAGAGATTAGCAGATGCAGAGTTCAAAACACTGGTTATAAAGATGCTCGAGGAACTTAGTGAGGACCTCAGCAGCATAAAAAAGACCCAGTCAGAGACAAAAGAGACACTAACTGAAATAAAGAACAACTTACAGGGAAACAACAGTAGAGTGGACGAAGCCGAGAATCAAGTCAATGATTTGGAACATAAGGAAGCAAAAAACAACCATTCAGAACAAGAAGAAAACTTTAAGAGGACCAACATACACCTCACAGGGGAGCCAGAAGGAGAAGAGAAAGAGCAAGAAATTAAAAATCTATTTGAAAAAAACAGTGCAAGAAGACTTCCCTAATTTGGTAAAGGAAATAGACATGCAAGTCCAGGAAGCACAGAGAGAACCAATTATGATGGATGCAAAGAGACCCACTCCAAAACACATTATTGAAAGGCCAAAGATTAAAGATAAAGAGATACTCTTAAATGCAAGAGAAAAGAAGTTAGTTACTAGAAGGTTTCCAGACGGGAAGGGGGAGAGAGAGAATGGGTGAAGAGGTGAGGGGATTAAGAAGTACAAATAGGGGACTTCCAGCCAAGATGGAGGTGTAGGTAGATACACTTTGCCTTCTCGCACAACCAAAAGATGGACAAATTTAAAAACAAAAAATAACCAGAATTGCCAGAAAATCAACTGTACGGAAGTCCAATAACCAAGGAGTTAAAGAAGAAACATTCATCCAGACCGGCAGGAGGGGTGGAGATGGACAGCTGGGGTGGAGAGGACAGGCAGCCAGGCAGTGGCTGGAGGACCAGGTGGTCCTACATTTGTGTGCAGATAAACCGGGAGGAACAACTGGGGAGCGAGGCAGACGCCACAGTCCAGGGTTCCAGCGCAGGAAAAGAAAACCTCAAAACCTCTGGAGGCAAAAATATGGGGGGACGGGGGATTGCAGCAGTGGAAGAAACTTCCAGCCTCACAGGAGAGTTAATTGGAGATCCCACAGTGGCTTAGAACGTACACAAACCCACTCACCGAGGAATCAGCACCAGAAGGGCCCAATTTGCTTGTGGGTAGTG